TTTCTAACAAAAATAAACGAGTTATATATAGTAAATTCCTTATTGTTTTTAAAAGTTTTTCAATATATGTATTTTAAACGTAGTGGTATATTTAAAAACGTATAGTTTGATAAAATAAAAACGTATAGTTTATAAACCATCTAAAATATACGTTTAGAATTTATACTGATACCAAATTTAAACCATTTTTACGTATAAAAAACGTTTATTATACTAAGCTGTTGCCTGGGTGATTTAAACAAGTCGGAAGATCTATCTTGTACAAAAAAAAAAGATTCAATATTATTTTTTTAATTCTTAAATCTTCTGCTATGAACAATTGAAAAGACAAAGTTTAATAATATTTTAAAAAATGTTAAATTACTTACAATATCACGATTGTGTGGATAAATTTCAATTTATTGTGTAAAATATTCTTTAGATTATTATACCATTGTCTTTTTGCATAACTTACAATTATTGTAAACAATTATAGTGAAAAATCAATTTTACAAAATTTTTATAAAATAAATAATGACATCTAAATACTATGTATTTTATATGTATGTATATTTTAAACACAATGGGTATTAAATCTTAAATTTAAATCTACTTAGTATTTCAATTGATAGTTTCTCTACGCAATAGTTTTTATTCTAAAAACAATGTAAACTTTTTTTTAATTTAAATCTAATCCCAGGTCACTGGGTGCAATCGTTTAATGACTGAATTAACCAACTCATAAATTAATAACCAAAACCATAGTCAGTTTCAAATCAGCTGCGTGACGGAATCCCACGAATTCCTGCTAATAAACAAGTAGTCTCTAATCATCTGATCGTTCCTGTGCCCGAAAATCCATGTTGCCGATCGCTGGTGTCGCGACGCTTCGTAATAATGCAGCAGCAGCGTCGCTGGCAAGCCGTAGGTCAGGCGTCGGGACGCCTGGCGGCAACACACTCGCCTGCTGATCGATCCCGGCGTGAACGCGTCGCGCTACCAAATCCCCTTTTATTCCTCGCTGCCGCTTCGGTTCGCTTCCTCGGAAGCATCCCTGTTGCACAGGTAATTTTACCGTTCGCGATTGCATTGAACTGCAGGTGAAAATAGTGCCAGTGTGTCTGTAGGGATTTAGACATTAATGCGTCACTATATATTCGATTTGATATACTTAGTATAGACATAACGGTGAGTTGACTCTTTATGTTAAGATGTTGCAAAATTGCATTCCTTCACGAACACACCAATTAAAAAAAACTTGATATATCCATTACTATCCATTTTTAATAGGACATCTATTGCAACCTATAAAAATAATGTTTGATTTTTACTAATGAAAATCGTTTAATAACAATGGCATATTTTGTAAAATCTTGATATTTTTATTTGATGTTAAATTTGCATACCCAACATTCGCTTTTTAATGGACTTTGACAGCTTCAAAGTTCGTTTTTTTATTTGGTCAGCTTCAAAGTTTGGTTGGCAATATTAATATTATATTATATAAGTAGTCCTTAAACTGCGATTGTCAAATAAAAATACACTTTTTTAATGTTTTTGACTCTCCCACCTTTAAAACGCTCATTATCGTACATGTTTACACGACACTAAGTGACACATTGACTGAAGTTAGTTTTAAGTTAGTTGACAGTTGTCAAATGCCATACAATCGTTAAAATAAAGTGCCCTTTTTGTAAAATAATAGGTGCTAAATGTAAAAATTACTTGTTTTTTTCTAAATACAAAAGTATTAAATAGTTTCTTAACGCCAATATTTGAAAAGTTTATATTATAATTTCGCCGGCTTAATTTCAGATGGAGACTACACCGTTTCTTTACTTTCACTGTAAAAAACTGCTTATATATCGAAATAAACGGTCCATTTTCAAGCAATACATTTAAATTTACACAAAAAATTTGATATTTGACATTATTACACATTCCCAAGTTGGTTACTCTATTGTTTTATAGATGTCGCGTTATGAAAATATCTAATTTAAATCATTTTTACATAATAATAAGTATTTGTCGTAGAAAAAGTATAGTATGCAACTCGCTTATAAACTTTTCTTGAAACTCATTTAATTGAGCACTCGCTTGCTCGTGCTTAAATTAAATTTGTGTCTAAAATGGCGTTAATCAAACGTGATAAATAATAATATTATGTATAAAACCCTTAAAAAGGCGTTTATATATGAGGAGGTGCATCCCAAAACTCGGCTTATCCATATTAGTTGTTTTCGAGCAAAATGTCAAAAACCTTACACGTGAGTACTAACGCGTATCAGGCAAACACAATACTTTAAACGAAATATAAAGGCATAAGTTAAACATTTATATACCTTGATTAAAAAGGTATTGCTCCAGTTTAAAATAATTTAAAATTACATACGTATATGCCGAGTTCTGCATGATATAAGTCAATTTGTAAATGAATTTTAAATGGAATAAGGTTAGTTATAGAATATTATGAACTTATCAGGGTATAGGTGGATACATGTTAAATGTACAGACACCACTAACTCATTTTTATTAAAAAGTGGATAAGCCGAGTTTTGGAATGGACCTAATCATATTATATAAACGCCTTTTTAAGGGTTTTATAATGTTTTAAAGGATCTTATCTTAGTTGGGTTTATATCTAACTGTATTAATCTCACGCAATGTCAATGTCAATTTCTTTACATTTATAAATTATTTGTAATTATATAATAAATAAAAATCGCATAAATCCTGAACATTAATAATATATTATGTATCAAGTTTGATAAACGCCATTTTTGTCACGAATTTTAAATAGGCACGAGAGAGCTTGCGAGCGAGTGTTTAATTAAATGAGTGTCTAGAAAATTTTATAAACGAGTTGCATACTATAATTTTTATACGACAAATACCTACTACTTATTAGGGAATTAGTAACCGGTTATTATGAAACTACGGTTTAACCGGTTAATCGTTTATTATATGTAATAAACGGCAAAAAAGGTTATAGTGTGGGTCACTGCACCTTGATTTCGCAAAGGCAACAAATAAATAAGATTTGAGAAGAGAAAGGAGGTTTATTTTGGCAATGCCATATAGTTGGCTGCAATGATCCATCAGTGGTTGGCTGCCTTGCGCCGCTTTTTTTTATGTGGCGCAAGAAGACAAACTTCCTATGTTTCACGCAAATTTTTTCGTCGGCACAGAACAAATAAAACTGCAGTGCGCACTGCATTGCGCACAAACCCAATCTGATTATGGCCAATCAAAATCAAGTATGAATTATGACGTTTTCCATGTGTTTGAAATTAAATCGTCAATGGAGCGCTGATAAACTTCTTCATTGCTTTTGATTTCAGCCTCACTCCCTCCATATCGGTTTGTACTTTAGTCTTCATGCTTGTGCGCCAATTTGGTTCCCTGTAGTCAAAACTTGAAATTTATTTTCTTATAACAGGCGGTTATTTGAAGGTAGGTTAACTTCCGTTAATTTTATGAGTCAAATATGTCAAATTTGTATTTTATAAGATAATAAATCAAAATGTATCTCTTGAAAATGGATTAAACAACAGTTTTTCACAGTGAAAGTAAAGAAAATGTTTTATTAGCACTTCACGGTGGTGTCCGAGCCCGACTTTAAAATTAAGTACTGCCGGCGAAATTGTAAGGTCAGTACAATGTTCATATAAACTCTGCAAATATTGGCGTTAAGAGACTATTTAATGCTTTTGTATTTTTGTATTGAGATAATAAAATAATTTTCACATTTAGTATTATTTTACAAGGGCACTTTATTTTAACGATTGTAAGACATTTGACAACTGTCAACTAACTTAAAGCTAAAGCTAAAGCCCGGTAACGGGAACGGGAACGGGAACGGGAAATTAAACGGTAAAGGTGGGAGAGACTCAGCGAATTCTATCTATCAACAGTGATTTTTAGTGTCTCCCACCTTTATTGTTAGGATTCCCGTTCCCGTTACCGGGCTATTGTGCAGCGGGCTTTACAATAAGCGGCTGTTTTTAATTTAATTTTAAAGAAGAAAAAAGAATTTTCTTTGGTGTTAAACAAAATTTATTGCCAGAAAAGTCATAAAAATGTTATAACCAATATGCAAAATATTATGCTGTTTATAAAATTAAAATTTTGGGTGGGATAAAGACTTTAGTCATTATGAACGCAAAATAGATAAAGTATAGTATTAAACTCGATATTATGCGCATTATTCACTCGGATGATTTAAGTCTCTCGTCTGGCGACTCTGGACGCAAACCTCATCCTAGTGAATAATAGCCTGCATTATCTCTCGTATAATAATACTATTTTTTATAAATTATAGTTAGCCAAAATATTGTCAAATTTATTTCAAAAATCATAAAAATAATTTCTAAAATAAAAAATAAAATTATATTACAAATAAATCTGTCTAACTTTTATTTATTCACAACGTCATCGCCATAAACAATTTAACGAATGCAAAATCTAATTAAACTTGTTAGCATTATAATAAAATTAAGTGTCTAAATTGAATCAGAATATTACTTTATCAATTAAAGTCGTTTTAATTGTAATTAGATTTTATAACGCTATAAACTTGTTTTTCAAATGTACAGGTAAATTTGTAACTATAACCAGAAATCACTCACATGTGTGGATTTTTTAAATTATCCATGACATTTCGATTTACGTATGCCTAAAAATAGAGCCAAGTCTGAGAACGTGGGAAATGTGTAGTTTAATTGGTACCTTAAAAATAGATTTAGAAAAAACTATGATAGATAAACACTTAATGAGCAAGGGTCTATAAAAATATTTGTAATTGAATTATTTTTAATGAAATAATTAGTTTTCATAATTAATTGAGTTGTCTCAGAATATTATATATTTTTGTTCTACTTACTCAATTTTTTAACTACAAGAACAGTGATTATTAAGTATTAATAATTTACTTTAGTGATTTACTGTGGCTATTAGTAGTAATTTAAATTATTTAAAATTTAAGATTTTATCCAATTAAATAACGATTTGTATTGTTTTAGGTGGTAACCAGCACCGCTGGTAAAATACCAGGATGACGACTGACATAAGTATAGTAAGGTGGGACCCCACCTTACAACAGGAGATAGTGGACGATTATGAGTACGATGGTGGTAACTCATCCTCAAGACTTTTCGAAAGGTCTCGTATAAAGGCCTTAGCCGGTAAGAAAACATGTTTATTTATAATATTTATAAAAGGCATATACACTGCGCGTCAAAATTAACGCATAATAAGTAAAAAAATTCTAACTCTAAAACGCCTTTACCAATCTTTATGAAATTTTGTATAAAAATACTTCAACTTATATCTCAGTTTACGTGTTCGAGGGTTTTTCGAGAAAATATTTTTAAAGCCCTTTTATTTAATAATAAAAAAACCTTCAAGAATAACTTTTAGGGAACTAAATAAAAAATATGCTTTTAAAGACCGTATTTTTGTTAGTATACCCTGAAAATGTTGTACAAATAAAACGAACAGTAACAAAGATACAGCGCTTCAAAGTCGGTAAAAACGTCCCCTTTTTGATTATTTTGCTGAAAGTGGTCATTTTTGACAACTTTGAAGCGCTGTATTTTTGTTACTGTTTGTTTGATTTGTTCAAATTTTCAGGGTATACTAACAAAAATACGGTCTTTCACAGCATATTTTTTATTTACTTAAAACAAATTCCCTATAAAAGATTTTTTTGGAGCGTTTTTTATTATTAAATAAAAGGGCTTTAAGGATATTTTCTCGAAAAACCCTTGACAACTTAAAGTATTTTTATGCAAAATTTTATAAAGATTGGTAAAAGCGAATTAGAGTTGGATTTTTTAACTTGTTATGAGTTAATTTTGACGCGCAGTGTATTTAACCCATCAAGGTTTTTAAATATAATAAAGGTGTAGTATCAATAGTATCAAATATTGGATAATAATGGTGTTATATAGGACCCTATTGATTTTAAGTTATAACAATAGGGTCCTATATAGAATCCAAAAATAAAAAATGTATGTTTTATAATATTTTGTTAAACTTTCCTTGTGAAAATAAAATTCGAGTGAAAATTGAATTGTCTAAAATTAGAGACAAAAAACAAATATTTTTACTTATGTTATCATTTTTAGTATACTGCTTGTAAACTGAAAATTAGACTTAAAATTAAGTAGTTTATTTATAATCTGGAATTTTACATATTTTTTAATGTCGTATTAAAAAAACATACATTTATATTTTGTCGTCTTCCCATTTCTTTAAATCCAAGTAATGATGAGATGTAGAATAAAACGCTTTTTGCAAATAAAAGAAAAATAACATTATTTTACATAATTGATTTAAATAGCAATTACGGCAAAAAATCGTCAAAACTTAATCAATGGCAATACTATTCAATAGTATTGGAACAGGCTAGCTTAGTCAGATTAAATTATTCTCAAATTAAGAGCGCCTTCTCTCAACTTTACCTAGGTTCCCTAAAAATTTAAATTCGGCCCTGACACATTACAGTTACTCTCTAAACATCAATCGCTGTCCCAAAAGTAACCATTACTCTAAACATTCGTTTCTATATAGTATAAAGGACTTAACTGGTCATGTGCCTCTTGTGATGAATACTGTAAAGATCTAAACTCACTTAAGGCAACAATCATATCGCTTCAACAAGACGTAAAGGAGTTAAAGGGTTTAAATAAAAAATCTGATGCAGTTATCGATGAAGATTGTGTTGAAGATATTATTTCTGAAATAACCGCCAGAGAGAGAAAACGCTGTAATTTAATATTATTTAATATGTCAGAAGGTGATAATAATGAGGAACAACAGGTTCAGGATCGAAAATTTCTTACCGAATTGTTAGGTTGTATTTCTCCAGAAACAAAATTTGAAAGTCAACCAATACGTTTGGGAAAATATAGCCAAAACAAAAAACGTCCACTAAAAGTTACCTTGCCATCTGAATCTGCTGTAATTAATGTATTGAAAAACTCCCATAAAATTAAAGATAATCAAAGTTTTAAGCATGTGTCTATAAGTAAAGACAAGACCAAAAGACAAAACGACTATTATAAATTGATAAAAGTCAAGCTGGATGAAGAATTAAAGAATGGAAAAAATGTCAAAATAAAATATATTAATGACGTACCAAAAATTGTCCAATCTGAAAATCATTTAAACAACTAAAGCCCAACAATACCCATAAAGAATTAAGTATTTACTATCAAAATACACGAGGTTTGAACACTAAAATACGTGACTTTTCATGTGCAGCAAGTGATAATGAATTTGATATTATATGTCTCACTGAAACATGGTTAGTATCTGCTGTTGAAAGTGCTGAATTATTTTCTAGTACCTATAATGTTTTGAGATGTGATCGAAAATATGACCTACTTGACTGTGCCAGAGAAGGTGGTGTCTTAATTGCAGTAAAGGATAGTTTTAATATAAATAAAATTAACTTTGAAATTGTTGAGAGTGTTAATGGCTTAGTGGATATCGTAGGTTGTAAAGTTGATGTTTCTTCAAATGTATCTGTAACTTTTGTTGTTATTTATATTCCGCCAAGAATGAATGTGGGCGATTTTCAAAACTTTTTTGATGAATTAGCGTATCTATTAGCAAGTTATAGTGAACACATAGTCATTCTTGGCGACTTTAATGTCCCTGAGTATGTAAACTTAAATGAAGAAAGTAGTAAGTCCCTCCATTTGAATAATTTTTCGGCTTTTCTTAATTTAGAACAATGTAATAATATCCCCAATCTATTTGGTAAATGCTTGGATCTTGTATTTACTAATTGTAATTGTGAGGTTGAATTGGAGCAGTACCCTTTTGTTAAAGTTGATGATTATCATCCTACATTGGCAATAAACCTAAAGACAAAATTATTTAATACAAACTTTTGTAATAATACTGAGAGTAAAATCTACAATTTTAGAAAGGCGAACTTTCCACTTTTGTATAATGATCTTTTACAGATAGATTGGTCATATTTAAACTCATTTGATGACATAAACAGTTCGTGTGAGTCTTTGTATACTAAACTTTACAGTCTCTTCGATAATTATGTACCTAATAAAACCTATATTCATAATAAACAAACATATCCACCGTGGTTTAATAAATCAATAATTCAAAACATAAACAAGAAACTGCATTATCACAAAAAATACAAAAAAACAAGTAAACAAATATATTTAACCTTGTTTAAGGAAACTCGCCAAATAATTAAAAATGAAATATCTATATCTTATAAACATTATTTAAATAATATTCAGCTTAATTTACAAAATGATCCTGCATCGTTCTGGTCATTTGTTAATTCAAAAAAAGGACAATCCCGAATTCCGAGTAAAGTTAATCTTAATAATATTGAATACGATAAACCTAAAGAAATAGTTGATAGTTTCGCGCAGTTTTTTAATAGCGTTTATATAGATTCGGTTCCATTTAATGATAACAACTTTGTATTTACTAATAATCACGTCTCTTTATTCGCAATTGATGTTGAAGACATATACAGGGCAATAAAAAAGTTGAAAAATAAAATGACATCTGGGTTTGATAATATACCAAGTTTTTTTGTTAGAGATTGCTCTGGAGCCCTGGCTAATCCCCTCTTGATTATTTTTAATAAAATTTTAAAATCTGGGTTGTTTCCAGACATGTGGAAGATTTCTAAAATCATACCAGTATTAAAACGAGGTGATAATTCGCTTATTGTCAACTACCGACCAATATCAATTTTATGTAATTTTGCTAAAATATTCGAAACAATAATAAATACAAAAATTTTTGATCAAATAAAAAATATGTTGTCCCCTTTTCAACATGGTTTTATTACAAAACGATCTACCACAAGTAACTTGGTTTCATTTACACAACATGCTAGTCAAACGATTGATAGCAATGGCCAATTGGATGTTATCTATACCGATTTTCAAAAGGCTTTTGATCAAATAGACCATTTTATTTTATTAAATAAATTAAGGCGGATGGGTTTTGATGATATGCTTATTAAACTTTTTGAATCATACCTTACTAATAGGCAACAATATGTCATTGTTAATGGTTACTCTTCCGAGTGGTTTGCCTCTTGTTCAGGGGTGCCGCAAGGATCTAATTTAGGACCCATTCTTTTTGTTATTTTTATTAATGACTTGCCATTAAATTTAAGTTGCTCCAAGCTTTTATATGCGGATGATTTAAAAATTTTTAAAGGTATACAAAACTTAAATGACTGCTTTGAACTTCAAAATGATTTAAATACTTTAAACCAGTGGTGTCTTAGTAATCGTTTAAAGTTGAATATATCTAAATGTAAGATTATGCGCTATACCAGAAAACTAAATCCAATTATTTTTGAATATAGCATTAATGATATTCCCTTGGATACAGTTTCTGTAATGAAAGACTTGGGTGTTATTTTTGATCAACAGTTAAGCTTTGTAAGTCACATTAACACAAATATAAAATCTGCAACAATGACCCTTGGATTTATTTTTAGAAATACCAAAGGTTTTTCTTCTCAGTCCGTTAAATTACTATATTATTCGTTAGTGCGCAGCAAACTTGAGTATGCCAGCGTGGTTTGGTCTCCAATATATGCCTATCACATAACAAACCTTGAAAATGTTCAGCGTAAATTCCTAAAAACTCTTAACTTTAGAATATTCAATTTTTATCCACCACAGGGTTATGATCATTTAGTTCTGTTAGAGACTTTTAATGTATTGTCTTTGGAATTGAGAAGAAAAATTATTTCAATAACTTTTTTGTATAAACTTTTTCATGATCAGATCGATTGCATGGATTTGTTGGGTCAATTGTGCTTTAATATTCCTCGTTGTAATAGCCGACAATGTATAACGTTTAGATGTCCCTTTGCTCGTACAAACACACTTAAAAAATCTCCTTTATATGTTATGTGCAATATATTCAATTTTATTTCTACTTCCTGTGATATAAATTTTTCTTCCTTAAGCTTTATAAAAAATTGTTTATCCTAGTGTTTTATATTGTTAATTGTAAAAATTGTTAACTATTTATATGTTTAATTATTTATATATTGTTTTTAACTTATTTGTATTATTTATTTATAAGCTAGTATTTGTAAGTAAACACTATTATATGAATGTCCATTTATGGTATGTACTGTTGGGCAATAAATACCTATTATTATTATTATTATTATTAAAGTTTATACTGCTGCAGAGTCATGAGTAGTGTTCTGCAAAAAACAGAACTACACATTCTTGTTTAAATAAATAAATACTTTAGTTAAAACAAGCCAAGTAACTTTTTGCAAACTCAAGATATGAACTTTGCAAAAAGTCAGCTAGCTTGTTTTAACAATAAACGATTCAACCATATTTTTAGTATTGAATAATTGTTCTGTATTATTCAATACCAAAGTTGTTCTTTAATAATAATAACATTTTATTGTATTAAGAAATAAATTTTATAATATATTACTTGTATTTATGTAATATCTTATAGTATTATAGAATAGCTATTTTTGTTTAAATAAATAGATTTTAAAATATATGTTCTGTATTTTACCCTTAATAACTATGACGTTATTAGAAAATATGCAAATTGGGTAAATGTTTTAGGTATTATCATATTCCTGATCTACTTAAAAATCTTATTGTTAGCTTAGGCTCCACAAATTTTATATTAAACTTCCCTATTTACATTTCAAAATAATACAATGTGGCACTAACATATGTTGATCTAATTAATAAATAAACTTTTCATTACTTCCACAAACTATATTTTGGGTTAATTGAGAAGTAGGTATAGCATTAATACATTGCAATTGACTGATTCGCCCCGCCCACAATGGATTTTACACAGAACATAACTGAAATATCCAGTCATTATGCATAATGTCTAAAGTTCTTGGTTTTTATATGCATAATAACTAAGAACCTTTTCTTTTTATTTATTTTTCTCCGTGTAGCTAGTAATTTTAATTACAGATTTAATGATTTTCATTTTAGTCCATTTTTGAATTTTGTTCTTTACTACTTTCCTCAGTTGTTTACGTATAATTTTGTCGATATTTAACTTTTTAGAAAATACGTTGAACACACTACCTTACGATTAATGGTTTATTTTAGATTATTTATTGCATGCCCCACCATTTATAAGTGCTTTTTAAAATAGTTGTTTATAACATTTTATAAACAACCCTCTTATCTAAAATTAAAAACACCGTATCTTTAGATAATGCTGATACTACTGTAAAACATAAAATAGGTACACTGATATTAAATAATCCATTTAAGGAATACATTTCTTATTATAATACCCTGTAATAATATTCATTAGATTTGTGCACGCCCATACCTCTTATCTTATTGTTATCATTGTTATTTCCTTTTTTGTGTCCAGTTCCGAACGTATTATTGGGTTAAAGTAACGTACATATTATAGTTTTTTTTTCCGTCTATAAGGAATTTAATGTTTTGTGTTTTTGTGACTGTTGTTTAAAATGAGTATTACCAAGTATAAAGTCGACCCAGAGCTTTTCTACTATGATGGTTTGGTTACGAATTTAAGAGGTAATTTTCCTGTCGAAAAACCGGGATTTTTGTGGTATTTTTATAATTTCAAAGATTGATACTATTGTACTACAATTTGTAAATAATGGAACTTTGTACAGTGGCGGAGACGGAATTTCGAACGACTTCTATTGACATCAAAATCTAAACTGACTATGTAATCACTATTCTTGTCATTTTCACAGCGAAACCAAATATGGCCATTATTAAATATTTGCTATTTACAGAATCACACAAGGAAAACCAAATTATGTCGTTCGAGATTCCGTGTCCACCACTGTACCTATCTGTTTATTTAAACAGTTTTTGCATGAAGTTTTTGGTCGAGAGCAGTGTTGCCATTTTTAGGGTAATTAGTAGGTATATTTAAGGGTGGTGATATTATTAGGGTAAAATCAAGGTAAAACTACATTTTTCACTTACAATTTCTTTACTTACTAAATTTAGTTTGCAGGTTACATTAATGTATTCAAAATAAAATATTATAAATTTATTTTAAAAAAAATTTACCTAATTGCAAAAAATGTGGGTATTTTTTTAATTTACGCTTCACAATCTTCGCAGGTTACATTTATGTATTTAAAATAGGCTACTATAAATTCATTTAAAAGAAATTTCTTGTTATTGTAGATAATTTGAGCATTGGGGCGCATTTTAGGGTATTTAGTTTGTGTTTAGGGTAAATTGGGGTAAAATGATAAAAAATCTGGGGTAAATGCTTAATTACAACACTAGTGGCAACACTGGTCGTGAGAGCGATTTTCTTATTTCACTTTTGTTGATCGAAATAAAAATATTTAGTTTACCTATATTATATTATACATGACATGATTTCATGTATAACATTGTAACATTGTATCATTTACTGTATCAAGGGTGAGTTAATAATGAAAGCTCACGCCATCAAAATTAGGAATTATTTTCAGTGACGTCATAAGAAAATTAACGGGTGCCCTCAAAAAAATTATGTTGTTTTTAATTGCTCGTGTTGCGAATTTTGGCACACTGTATATTGATTTTCATAAGGACTTGGATGTCGAGGTCATTAACTGTAAATTATACTATTTGTGCCATTTGAAGACATTGTGCTAAATTTTTATTATTTTTGTTGGAAAATCGATTATGTACATTTTTGTTTTATGAGCAATAGAAAAGTTATATTTCTGGAAAATGGTATTTATTTTATTTATTCCAACATTTTACCACATCCTTATTGCATATGCATTGGAATTCTAAACAGGTTAATAAACTACACAACAATGTTTTATAATAATATTCCTTATAATAATTATAATATTACTTATAATAATTAAAAACTGTTTTTGTTTCAGATGAAAGAGAAAGTGTTCAAAAGAAAACCTTCCAAAAATGGGTGAACTCCCACTTAGTCAGAGTAAACTCCCGCATCACAGATTTATACGTAGATATGAGAGATGGAAAAAATTTAATCAAACTTCTCGAAGTATTATCAGGTAAGAATATCTTTGTTTGTATACCTAGGTTTTTATTTTCAACATTGCATTTTGGTCAAATCGATATTTAAAAAGCCTTTGTGTTTATCGATTTTTTAATAAAACTTCTAAAGCCCAAAAGTTATAAACACGCAATATGATTGCGGTGACAATATCGTGTTTTATCCTCGGATATTTATAAACTGTAGAATTTTAAAAAGTTTAAAATTTAATATTAAAGCATAATAAGTACAAAACAAATTTAAATTTTGACAGGGTGTCCCAAAATTGGCGGTCCATAGGGTAACAGTAACATAAAAAATTCAGAAAGATACTTAATTAAAATAATCAATATAATACTGTTCTATATTATTTTCAATATTATAAAGTGCACTTTTTAAATCTCAACAACTCTCCAAGCTGCCTGGTTGCTCCAACTCTTTATAGTCAATAATCACAGGATTTGTTTAGTCAAGAATAAACCAACCGAAATTAGCGATTTTTAAATAAAATTAAAACGTTGAACCTAGAATTAACAAAGTAATAAAGGATCCATATAATTTTCGGAAGCTATTATCCGCTATTATCTCAGTTTTCCAAAAGTGAGGCTTAGTGTTATGTTGCATAAAACCATTAAATTTTTCTTTACAATTTTTTCGAATGATGAAAAATGCAGGACTTATTTAATTTTTAAGGCCCCGCTTTTTAACTTAGCGCTTGGGACAATACGTACCAAAAATGTTTTTCTTTACTATTTTTCAATGTAAAACAAAAAATATATCAACAACTCGTCCGATAGAGCAGAGACACAGCGCTCTCATTGATGGCTTTAAAAATTAAATCATTCCTGCAATTTTCCGATTTCGAAAAAATGGGCCGCCAGTTCTAAGACACCCTGTATTTAAAATAACGATAAGCCAAGCTGACCAGGTAAAATTTGAAAAACTTCTGCAATTTTTATTTTAAAATTAAAAGCTCATTCACATCCACTTAATACGCGTAACTTAACTTAACGTACTTGAGAGACGTAAGTTGAAATACATTGAAACCAATGCAGCTGTTTACATTCGTATAAAACTTATCACACGTAACTTAACGTATCCAAAAGTTGGGATCGGCTCAACTTAAGGGAATACGTTTCTTACGTGAGCCAATCACATGCCCAGTAAAACGATATAGCGCTATCTTGTTGTTTCACTTTTATAGATAGATAGGCATCGATGTCTACTTTGCGCGTGCTTGTATATTACGTTTTTTGTGTGTATTAAGTTAATGTAAACAGACAACTTAACAGACGTATGTTTCTTAAGTTAAGTTAAGTTACGCATATTAAGTGGATGTGAATGAGCTTTAAATCTGCTATTACCTTTTTTAGGTGAAAGATTGCCTAGGCCGACAAAAGGAAAAATGCGTATTCACTGCCTGGAAAACGTGGACAAAGCGTTGCAGTTCCTGAGGGAACAGCGCGTGCACTTGGAGAACATGGGTTCTCACGACATCGTCGACGGCAACCCCCGTCTTTCTCTGGGTTTAATCTGGACCATCATCCTCCGGTTCCAGATACAAGACATCACAATCGAAGAGACCGACAACCAGGAAACCAAGTCCGCAAAGGACGCCCTGCTGCTCTGGTGTCAAATGAAAACTGCAGGCTATCACAACGTGAACGTAAGAAACTTTACCACCTCGTGGCGCGACGGTCTCGCTTTCAACGCTTTAATCCACAAACACCGCCCGGATTTGATTCAATTCGATAAATTGTCGAAATCGAACCCAATGCACAACCTAAACAATGCCTTTAATGTCGCTGAAGACAAACTAGGACTTACTCCACTATTAGACGCCGAAGACGTGTTCGTAGAGCAACCCGACGAGAAATCCATCATTACCTATGTAGTAACTTATTACCATTACTTCAGCAAGATGAAGCAGGAGACAGTGCAAGGAAAGCGTATTGGTAAAGTTGTAGGTATCGCGATGGAGAACGATAGAATGATCAAGGAGTACGAATCGCTGACCAGCGATCTTTTAGCTTGGATTGAATCCACAATCCAGATTTTGGGCGAACGAGAATTCGCCAACAGTTTGACAGGCGTGCAGCAGCAGCTAGGACAATTCAATAACTACAGGACTGTTGAAAAACCACCTAAATTCGTGGAAAAAGGCAACTTGGAGATCCTTTTGTTCACTTTGCAATCGAAAATGAGAGCGAACAATCAGAGACCATATACTCCCAAGGAAGGCAAAATGATTTCTGACATTAATAAGGCTTGGGAAAGATTGGAAAAGTCCGAACACGAACGTGAATTGGCTCTTCGCGAAGAATTGATTCGTCAAGAGAAATTGGAACAGCTCGCAGCAAGATTTAACAGGAAAGCTTCGATGCGCGAGACCTGGTTGAGCGAAAACCAGAGGTTGGTATCGCAAGACAACTTTGGGCAAGATTTGGCCGCTGTCGAGGCCGCAGCTAAGAAACACGAGGCCATCGAAACCGACATCTTTGCATACGAAGAACGCGTCCAAGCCGTTGTGGCTGTTGCTTCCGAGCTGGAAGCAGAAAACTATCACGACATGGAACGTATCAATGCCAGAAAAGAAAACGTCCTACGCCTATGGAATTACCTATTGGAATTGCTTAGAGCCAGGAGGAAGCGATTAGATCTTTCTCTGCAATTGCAACAGAACTTCCAAGAAATGTTCCACATTTTAGACGCCATGGAAGAATTGAAAGCAAGACTCCTGACCGACGATTATGGCAAACACTTGATGGGTGTGGAGGATTTGCTACAAAAACACAACCTTTTGGAAGCCGACATCAATATTCTTGGCGAAAGAGTTAAGGCCGTTGAAAACCAGTCAAAGAGGTTTGTCGATGCCGAAGACGACGAAGATCACAAGGGATATAAACCATGCGATCCCGCACTGGTATTGGAACGCGTTCAACAACTCAAAGAAGCCTACGCCCAATTGGTGCGCTTGGCAGTCGAAAGACGTTCCAGACTCGAGGAAAGCAAGAAATTGTGGCAGTTCTACTGGGATATGGCTGACGAAGACAACTGGATCAAGGAGAAGGAACAGATCGTGTCCACTTCCGATATCGGCCACGACCTTACAACTGTTAACTTGTTGTCGAGCAAACACAAGATTCTCGAGAACGAGATTTCCGCTCACGAGCCACAGCTAGAAGAAGCCACCAATGTAGGCGAAGAGTTAATCAAATCCGGCCACTTTGGCGCAGAGAAAATCCGCGAGCGTCTATCTGAAATCCAAGGCGCTTGGAAACACCTCTTGGACTTGGCCGCCCAACGCCGCCAGCGTTTGGAGGAGGCTGTCGATTATCATCAGCTGTTCGCCGATGCCGACGACGTGGACGTCTGGATGTTGGAAACACTTCGCATGGTTTCCAGCGAAGACGTTGGGCGCGACGAGAGCAACGCCCAGAGTCTGCTCAAAAAGCACAAAGACGTCACCGAGGAACTCAAGAACTACTCCAGCGTTGTCGATGCTTTGCACCAGCAAGCCGAGGCTTTGGGACCGGAAGTCGTCGGCTCCCCGGAAGTATCTCAGAGACTAACTTCGATCGACAACAGGTACAAGGAACTGTTGGAGTTGGCCAAGTTGCGCAAACAACGTCTTCTCGACGCCCTCTCCCTCTACAAGCTTCTCTCGGAAAGCGACGGAGTCGAACAATGGATCAGCGAAAAGGACCGCATGTTGCAAACGATGATCCCCGCCAGGGACATCGAGGATGTCGAGATCATGAAGCACCGTTACGACGGATTCGAGAAAGAAATGAACGCCAATGCGTCCAGAGTTGCCGTCGTCAACCAGTTGGCCAGGCAGTTATTACACGTCGAACATCCCGACTCGGAACAAATCACTTCCAGACAAAACCAGCTCAACCAGAAATGGTCGGAATTGAGGGAGAAGGCCGAAAGCAAGAGGGAGGAATTGAACTCCGCTCACGGTGTCCAGACTTTCCACATCGAGTGCAGAGAGACCACCACCTGGATCGAAGACAAGATCAGGATTTTGACCAGCACCGATTCCTTGGAGATGGATCTTACCGGTATCATGACATTGCAGAGACGTTTGTCTGGTATGGAACGCGACCTTGCCGCCATCCAGGCTAAATTGAACTCTTTGGAAAAAGAGGCTCAATCGATCGAGGAAGAGCATCCAGAAGAAGCAGCCGTTATCAGGAAGAGAATTGAAGAAATCCAAATCATTTGGGAGAGACTCACTCTTATGCTAAAAGAACGCGACTCCAAGTTGGAAGAGGCTGGCGATCTTCATCGCTTCTTGCGGGACTTGGATCACTTCCAAGCATGGTTGACCAAGACCCAAAAAGACATCGCTTCCGAAGATGTGGCTAACTCTTTGGCCGAAGCCGAAAAATTGTTGTCTCAACACCAAGCCATCCAAGAAGAGATCGCAAACTACACCGACGACTACAAGAAGATGATGGAATATGGAGAAAAGATCACTGCCGATCCCACTACACAAAACGATCCTCAGTATATGTTCTTGAGGGAACGTCTAAAGGCTTTGAAGGACGGCTGGGACGAAATCCACCAGATGTGGGAAAACAGGGCTCAACTCCTTTCCGAATCATTGAGCTTGCAGTTGGTGAATCGCGATGCCAGACAGGCCGAAGTTATTCTCAGCCAACAAGAACACGTCTTGGGCAAGGACGAAACTCCTACCACATTGGAACAAGCCGAGAACCAACTAAAACGTCACGAAGCTTTCCTGGCCACCATGGAAGCAAACGACGACAAAATCAACGGAGTCATTCAATTCTCCCAGAAATTGTGCGACGAGGGACACTTTTCCGCCGACAAGATCGCCAAAAGGGCCGATAATATTGAAGAACGTCGTGCTGCTAACAAGGAGAAGGCTGTTGCTTTGATGGAACGCCTCAGAGACCAATTGGAGTTGCAGCAATACCTCAGAGATTGCGATGAGTTGCAAGAATGGATTCAAGAGAAACACATCACCGCTCAGGATGAAACATACAGATCCGCCAAGACTGTGCATTCCAAATGGTAAGAAATATAATTTATGAATTTCAAATTATTGCTAATGTTTCATTCCATCGTTTCGGGTGTTACATTTGTTCAACCAAAGTCTTAATTTTTATGTATTTTGAAATTTTTGAAACATTTTAGCAATTAAAGTTCCTTATTCTCTACGTTTTCAGTTGTTTTATCTAAATTCATAGATTCATAGATTTTGGCCTATGTCTAAATTGTAAAATTAGTACAGTTTAGCATATAGGATAACGATTTTATAAGTCAAAAAGTGTGCAATTCGGGTGTTTCACAATTCTGCCTCTGATGTCCTGACCATTGTTACATTTATTTGAAATTCATCGATTTTTTTTAGGGAAACATTTCTTGAAATTACAGACCTCCAAAAGTATAATATTTACTAACCATCTACCACATAATCACTGTCACAAATAACGTTTTACTATTTTTTTTTTATAAAATTTTACTTTGTTTCGGGGGTTAGAAGTACAAAAATTATATGGATAAAATCTCTAGGTACTACAAAATAAGTTAGTGACAAACATAAATAGAATAAATTGGGTGCGATTGATAAATCGGCAAAAAGGGTAAAATGGATATTTTTGACAAAAAATCTATAAAAAAATCGGTAGATACATAATTATTGACGAAAATCTAAGTATTCGGTATTTTGGTAGGTCCGTTGCTATTTTGGTAGAAATACCAAACCATCGGAAAAGCAGTCACACCTCTTTAAAAGAGGTGTGCCTGCTTTTCCGATGGCAGCGCTAGTGGGCCGTCGAAAGAGCCTTAAAAATAATATTGTTTTATTTTAATATAAACTACACTGTTTAAAAGTTTCACTATTTTATTTAAATATGACAATTGTTTCGCTACACAGTAGCATCTTCAGATCGTATACAAACTAATATTTATTTTACTTTTATACGATCTGAAGATGCTACTGAAGATGCTACTGTGTAGCGAAACAATTGTCATATTTAAATAAAATAGTGAAACTTTTAAACAGTGTAGTTTATATTAAAATAAAACAATATTAACATGGAGTTTCATCAAGTAAAAGTCGAAATAATTAATTAATTAAAAATAATACTTATTGCATTCTTCAAGCAATACACACACACATATATCGACACATGAAAAAAGTTGTAACACCTGAAACGTTTTGGGTGTTACAGTTTTTAATCAAGAAAAACACATATCAAATTATTCTCATGCTCAGATATAAGTTAGTATTTTAAATCATTACCACCATAACGTTACTTTTAATAAATATTATAACACCAATCAATCTGTAAGGTATAATATTAAAATAATTACATGATTTTTCGTTTCGGGTGTTAAAGTGACAAAGTAAGAAGAAAGTGATAATTATCAATTTTTTTCGAGACTGTGACGCAATCCACCAATACTACGATAAATAATTGACAGATTGACAGTTTTTTTTTTTCGTATTTCCAATATTTAGTGGCACAATGGTCATTCAGCCAGTTCACTTGAGTACAGATTTTGACTAATTAACTTAAAAATTACGCGTTTGATCTACTTTTTTTTGTCGCACATTCTAATTCATCAGATTTAATGCGAAAAGAACATATTTATTTTTTCACCCTTAGTGTCGTTTGTCATGGAATGACCCTAATATCAATTATTTTGTTTAGGACGAGACATCAAGCATTCGAAGCTGAAATCGGCGCCAACAAGGAGCGCCTTCATAATCTCCAATTGGCCGGACAAGAGTTGGCCAGAGAGAAGCCTGAGTACAAAGAAGCCATCAGTCCCAAAATTGACGAACTAGGCGATCAGTTCGACGTTTTGGAGCAAACCACCAAGGAGAAGGGCGAACGCCTCTTCGACGCCAACCGCGAGGTGCTCATACACCAAACATGCGACGACATCGACTCGTGGATGAACGACCTCGAGAAACAAATCGAATCCGACGATACCGGCACCGATTTGGCGTCGGTCAATATCCTCATGCAAAAACAACAGGTATCAACATTCTTAAGTTTTAATTTTTGATGAAATTATAACGCATACATATTTACAGATGATCGAAACCCAAATGGCTGTCAAAGCTCGCCAAGTGGACGAGTTGGAGAAACAAACCAAACACTTGGAGACCGCCGCTCCTGAAAAAGACATGGAAGACATCAAAGTCAAAAAATCCAAGGTCGAACAACGTTTCCAAAAACTCAAGGATCCCCTTATCGAAAGACAGAGGATCTTGGAGAAGAAGAAAGAAGCGTTGCAATTCAGGAGAGACGTGGAGGATGAGCTTTTGTGGATAGCGGAAAAAATGCCTCAGGCGTCTTCCACAGAATACGGAAACGGATTATTCCAGGTGCACACTTTGGAGAAGAAGAACCAGTCGCTCAGGACCGAAATTGATAACCACGAGCCCAGAATTAATACCGTATGCAATAATGGACAAAAACTCATCGATGAGGGTCACGAGGATTCCTCTGAATTCGGTCACTTGATCGGCGAGCTCCACGAAGCCTGGCAAGAACTAAAAGACGCCATCGAAAAACGCCGCGAAAACTTGCTGCGCAACAAAAGAGCGCAACAATACCTGTTCGACGCCAACGAAGCCGAAAGCTGGATGTCCGAACAAGAACTCTACATGATGGTGGAAGACCGCGGCAAAGACGAAACCTCCGCCAGGAATTTCATGAAGAAACACGAGAGCCTCGAAGCAGCCGTCGAATCGTACGCCGACAACATCAGGACGTTGGGAGAGACCGTTCGAGCATTGGCCGCCGAAGGTCATCCTTTGGCCGAGCAAGTTGCCGTCAAACAGTCGCAGCTCGACAAACTGTACGCCGGACTTAAAGACTTGGCTGGAGAACGTAGAGCGAAGTTGGACGAAGCTTTGCAGTTGTTCTTGTTGAACAGGGATGTTGGCGACTTGGAGCAATGGATCGCCGACAGGGAAGTCGTCGCTTCTTCCCACGAGTTGGGACAGGACTACGACCACGTCAATCTGCTGTGGGAAAGGTTCCAGGAGTTCGCCCACGACACCAACACCATCGGAAGCGAGCGCGTGAACGCGGTCAACGCCACCGCCGACGATTTGATCGCCGCCGGTCACTCCGATTCGGCCACCATCGCCGAATGGAAGGACGGCCTCAACGAGGCCTGGCAAGATTTGTTGGAACTGATCGAAACCAGATCGCAGATGTTGCTCGCCTCCAGGGAGCTTCATAAGTTCTTCCACGATTGCAAGGACGTGCTCGGCAGGATATTGGAAAAACAAGTGTCCATGTCTGACGAGTTGGGCAGAGATGCCGGCAGCGTGTCCGCTCTGCAAAGAAAGCACCAGAACTTCCTGCAAGACTTGCAAACTTTGCAGTCGCAGGTCCAACAAATCCAAGCCGAGTCGGAGAAATTGCAGGCCAGCTACGCTGGAGATAGAGCCAAGGAGATTACGAACAGAGAACAAGAAGTCGTTGCCGCTTGGGCCGCCCTGCAAACCGTGTGCGACCAACGCAGGGGCAAATTGGCCGACACCGGCGACCTCTTCAAGTTCTTCAACTTGGTCAGGACGCTGATGCAATGGATGGACGACCTCATCAGACAAATGAACACCAGCGAGAAACCAAGGGACGTCTCCGGAGTCGAGCTGTTGATGAACAACCATCAAAGCTTGAAATCGGAGATAGACGCACGCGAGGACAATTTCACTGCTTGCATTTCGTTGGGCAAGGAATTGTTGCACAGGAATCACTACGCCAGCGCCGAGATCAAGGACAAATTGGTCTCGTTGAACAACCACAGGGGCTCCGTGCTTCAAAGATGGGAGGAAAGGTAAAGTAAAACAACCTTTCTACATTGTTATCAGAGCTGTCGGTAATTCAATAAATATAATTGAAAAATTGTAATTGAATTACTTTTTGCAATTGATTTACTTTAATTCAATTACCGAGAAAAAATGCTAATTTTAATTGATTTTAACAATTCTTAGGTAATTTAATTATTTTCAGAGTAATTAAATTACTAACAAGTAATAAAAGAACTTTTAGTAATTGAATTACTTGAAATTATTCATTTTTAATTCAATTACCCAATAACTTTGCTTGTCCAAAACATTTTTATAATAATATTAAGAAAAAACGTTGAAATGAATAATTCTTGGAATCTAAAAGACTATTTTTGCAAGAGCTTTAAAAATATTTTACGAGTGGGTATGGTACATGTATGGGTTTATTGGGTTATAGACTATAGTCGTCTTAAAAGCGAAAACAAATTTTATCCTTTTTACATGCTGTGTACATTGATTCTTTTCTTAAAAAAGTTTTTTAAAAATTTCTTTTTAACCTTTCGGCGGGCGCATGTAAAAGGAATTTTTTATATTTTTTACTAAATAAATAAATAACACTACGTTTTTAAGACTATTTAGTACAGTATTTAATAACTTCATCGCTACTACAGATATTAAAAATGCTATTCAAAATAACACATGCCACATGTTTTATGAAAAATGGCTGGTAAACCAAAAACTAATAAAATAATAATACTTGTACGAGATGTAAAAAAAAACGTTTTATTTTTACATGCTGTGTACATTAATTCTTTTCTTAAAAAAGTTTTTTAAAAATTTCTTTTTAACCTTTCAGCGGGCGCATGTAAAAGGAATTTTTTATATTTTTTACTAAATAAATAAATAACACTACGTTTTTAAGACTATTTAGTATAGTATTTAATAACTTCATCGCTACTACAGATATTAAAAATGCTATTCAAAATAACACATGCCACATGTTTTATGAAAAATGGCTGGTAAACCAAAAACTAATAAAATAATAATACTTGTACGAGATGTAAAAAAAACGTTTTATTTTCAGATTTTAAAAAAACCTAGATAAAAAACGGTTTTTTTTGTTTTTTTTAAAAATCCGGTACAATAAATCATATTCTGTTAATAAATATCATCAATCTTAAAAAATGGAGTACTTTTAAAAATGAAATTTTGAGTAAAATTTATATTAATAATAAAGTGAAATGTAAAATATATTACATTTTTCATTATTGAAAATTTTGACCAAGACTAAAAAATCTGATTTCTTATTATTTGGTAGTTTCCACATAACAAACCAACAGCAAAGGAAAAAAAATTCCAAATTTTTGCGATCGTATTGGAGCCGTAAAAAAAGCTATTTGAAGCTTGAAGTTTCTAGTTTTGAGATTTTTAGATGAAAACGTGCAACGCTCAATCCTAACGAATAGCGTAAAAAAAGTTAGAAATTTTTCTAACCACCACCAGTAAATAAATGTTCTACAAGAATTTGCTATTGTTTTTTTTTTAATTTCCAAACTCTATTTAAAATTCAAGCGCTAAATCAAAAATATTATAGGTAGTTACTTTTTACTCTATTTACATTTACTAAATGTCATTTAGTGGCTAATTTTAGTCCATGAACTGGACTGGAAACATAAAAAATAAGGCGAATAGGACTAATCTTGAAAAAAAACCCTAAAATATGAAAAAAACCATGTGGAAAAAAACGGACCGTTTTTTTTCAAGTCGCATCTCTATATGACTCAATAGCCCAAATAATAAAAGATTAGGAACATTTGGAAGAACTTTTTAAAAAGCTAAACATTAATACCCGTTTGCACCAACATATGGCTTAATCAAGATTAACTAATCTCAATTAAATTATAACCGTGATTAAATTTACCTCGGTTTGCACCATCCAATTTATAGCTAATCCTCTTTTAACTTTGATTAGGTGAAAAACGCGGAAAATGTGTGTTGGTATGTTGGTTATAACCATATATTTTGCTGATAGGTTCGTACCACTGTAGCGTTCAAACGTCAAAAACGTCTACAACTTGTCATCTGTATAATAATTATTTAAAGGGTATATCGTTTTGCCTAAAGCGGTGTGTAAAATAATGGTCATTGCAAATTAAAGAAAAAAGAGTTGAATAAATAAATTTCGTTAATCAATAATTTAATTATTCGGTAGGTACCTTAATATTACAAATTAGCAAAATACTTGTTTTAAATTGTCTTCTGGCCAGCGTACCGGCGGCGATATCATTTTGGTCGTCATAAATATTAGAAATTTGTCCTTCTTCTATTAATCGATTCAGCACGTGGGCATCTAATTCATCCACTATTGGTGGTGTTTCAAAATCTCCCATATCCAGCGCATTGTTACGGAGAACGGCTGCCGCAACAGGCAATTAGAAAATCGGCCAAACAAACCCCGTATTCTGCAATTATTGAAGATTGTAGCATCATGCACGGAGCCTGGCCACCTTGCCACCACGTTCAATATTGAAAAATATTCGTCACCTCCAGGAGATTGTATCCAACTACTCGAGGAAATGTGCCACATTGAATAATCGCTGTTGGTTTCTTCTTAATTCATCTGGAATAGTTGAAAAACGCACATTTATTGTATAATCTTGCGATAGCTTCAGATACTGCGCCAAACTGTTGACAAATGCATCCCCCCCCGTTGCAACGCGTTGAATAGAGATGAAGACATAAGTCAACCTTTTAAAACGGCAAAATGAGCTTAGACTACTGTTTTGCCAAGCAACGGCAAATTCTAATCATGATTTAAATACTAACCGCCCGACTATTCACCGGTTATTTAACCAACCCCTTAACCATGGTTAAGTGAATGGTGCAACGAAGTTTTCTGGATTAGCCAATTTAATCACGATTAAAATGCTAACCCACGTTGGTGCAAACGGGCATAAGAATCAGATGTTTAAAAACTATGAATTTGAATATTGTTTAATATTGCAGCCATTAGCTAATGTTATTGACATATTACAGGGTGAAAAAAATACTTATTTGGGTTATTTGTTACCATGTTTGGGCTCATTATATACAAAATTCCTTCAGAGAGAGACAAATACCATCAATATTGCTTGACCAATTTTGGAAGCATGTCAAGAGGGTGTATTAAACCGTTTTAGTGCCTTTTTCAACTTCTACAACAGAAGCAAAAGGAGCAACTATTGCATCTTTTACCCTACCCCAATTCAAACTGAGATTAACAAAACTGCTTTCAGAGTTTTTCAGAAGTTTATTTTTGAAATAGCACAAGACATTATAAATAATATATAATAATATTCAACAACAAATTTATAAGCAATTCAATCCTTAAAAGTAATTCAATTACTAAAAAGTAATTCTACTACTAAAAAGTAATTCAATTACTATAAAAAGTAATTCAATTACAATAATTAATTCAATTATAGTAATTGCCTATATAATTACTTTTCTTGGTAATTGAACTACATTTGTTAATCTGTAGTAATTGGTAATTTATATCTTTGTGCCAAAATAATTGGTAATTGTAATTCAATTACTTTTTAAGAGTAATTGCGACAGCAGCTCTGATTGTTATTACAAATATTTTTTCAGGTGGGAAAATCTGCAACTAATTCTCGAAGTATACCAGTTCGCTAGAGACGCAGCCGTAGCAGAACAGTGGCTCATCGCCCAAGAACCTTATTTGATGAGCACTGAACTGGGACACACCATTGATGATGTTGAGAACCTCATCAAGAAACACGAGGCTTTCGAAAAATCTGCCGCCGCGCAGGAGGAAAGATTTAGCGCTCTCGAAAGGCTAACAACGGTAAGCAAACATCTTTTTAAATATATCTGGTTTATGGTTCATGTTTGCATTTGGTAGTGGTATTATGTGCATGTTTTTTTACCTTTACTTTTTACTTTACTTTCATTACCAAGGTGTCCACTTTCTAAAAAGTCAGGGAAGCTTAAGGGAATACAGAAAACAATTATTTGTTTTTGTAGTACTTAATAATACTAAAATATTTTTATAAATTCCAAGCGCGCGAAACGCACGAATTACAAAACTGTTACCCATCTGTTCAAGAAAGTCGCAATAAAAAATATAATCAAATTGTGCAATAAAAAAACCTGTTATATCTGTTATATCATATTGTAAACAGTTTTCATGGCAATTTTAAAGCAACAAACCACTGTTTGTACTCTGCCACTATGATAGTAAAGTTAATAAAAAAAACTAATGGCAAAGATTGTAAAGGCAACAAAACCCTAAGCCGTTTCCAGCCAATTTAAAATTTTAAAAGTACTGAGAATTTATCAGCAACGAAAGACATCCACATTGGGTTTTAAATTGATTTTAGAAAATTCATTGCTTTAGAAACTGTTGTGAGATTTTTTTAGCATTTGAAGTGGACACCCTGATAACACATGTTTAGTTTACTATAATAACCATTAATTCTTTTTCCATGAATATTTTGCTTGTGTTTGTAGTTAGAAAAAGGTGGTGGCCATTTTAATTGTAGCACGCATGATTTTTCACCGTCCTCCACGGTTTATCCTACACTTCTGCCAACTTACACAAAACACAAACCTGCCTCTTTCCGTACGTTAACGCCTCAATACACCTGCGATTTGGTGCACGCAATTGTGCACGATGTCGGTAAATTTTACAAACCTTATAGGCAATGTCGACGAAAATTCACCCTCGAAGGAGTGGAGAAATTTTATCCAGATAGTTGCCTAAAATTCGATAAACAAGTTAGCTTCCTTCATAAAAACAGTAAAGTAGATGATGGTTTAGAATATTTTCAAAGCGATAAGTTTAAGTGTCAGGATTTCATAACGGCGGAGTGTTATGCAATTTATTTGGAAAATTGCGATAAGTTAACTGAGGCAGGTTTGAATCGGTTTAATGTTGTGGTAAGTACTTACAATTTATTGCATGAAGAATTATAGTAATGCATGCCTTATTTTTCTATTTTTTCATAATTATTTAAAAATTGCATGTTAATTTGTTTGTGCACGTTTTGCAGGGTAAATTTTTAAAAAATTTGTTCAAGCCAATGCGATTTAAAGTTTAATTTTTAAATTTTTCATTTTCAAAATTTGTACTATGCTCCACACCTCAAAGTCCCACCACGTGACCACGTACGGAACGCAGTCTTTTGAAAATTTGGCATTTAAGGCTTTTCAGGTTATGTATCTGTCAAAGTATAGTAAATGAAAGAAATAATATTTATAGTGTTACCGCTTATGTTTATAGTATCACAATAACAATGGTTGGTTTAAGAATTTAGGAATATAAATACTGCATTTAATGAAATTCCAAAGTGTAAGGTGCAATATAAGTGATATTTATGTGCATTGGGTCTACATTTCTCCATAAAATTGTTTTAACTAAACAGCATTTATTAAAAAAACTTCTCTATTATTAAATAAGAATATCTGTATCAAAGGTAGGTTAATGTATTAGAACAAAAAATAGCATCTAATTTTGTATTTTAAGGTTAGAAAAATCTATTTTGACCAAAATAAATAAGTGGATTATTTGGAAGAGTGTGTTAATATGGTCATAAATAAATATAGGTATAACAAATAATTGTTGAATATGGTTCAAATTAAATTAAAGCTTTTATACTTCTAATGACAAAACTTGTGCATACCTCTCGGCATACCTACTTTAAGTTAGATTATAAGAAAACAAACAATTTTTGGAGAAACTTGCAATGTGAAAATATTTAATACTCCCATGACATGTGATTTATTAAAATTTTTAAAGTTATAATGATTTTTCGATGTAGATCAAGTTCAGTCGAAGCTTTTTAACTATTTGTATTGACAAAACTTAATGTAGGTACACTTTAAGCTGGATAAGAAAAACTACCACATTTTTAAATACCATATTATACAGTCTTTTAATACTTATTTATTTTGGTCAAAATAAATTTTTCTAACCTTAAAATTTCAAAATTAGATGATTTTTTGTTATAATATATTAACCCAACTTTAAAAGAGATATTCTTATTCCATAATAGAGAAGCTAAATTTTTTTAATAAATGCTGTTTAGTTAAAATTATTTTAAGGAGAAAACCAGATATTTGGACCAAATGCACAAAAATATTACTTATTTGGCACCATACACTTTAGAATTTCATTAAATGCAGTATTTATATTCTTAAATTCTTAAACCATCCATTGTTATTTGTAATGTTATAAAGATTTATACATTTTTAACGCCTAAACATAATATTATTTCTTTCGTTGACTATACTTTGACAGATACATAACCTGAAAAGCTTTAAATGCCAAATTTTCAAAAGACTGTGTTCCGTATGTGGTCACGTGGTAGGACTTTGAGGTGTGGAGCATAGTACTTGTTATTATTTTTATTTATTTCAAATCCAATATTGGGTAGAAATTAAGTACGTTATTGGAGGGTTTATTAATTATAATTATTATTAAAAATAAATAAGCTTCAGTATTTAGTTCACATTTCGTTATTAATAATGAAATGTCTAACTAATTTGTGGTTATTATAGTTCGAACTTAGAGAATTGAAAAAGCGGCAAGAGAAAGCTGAAGCGGAAAAGCGAGCCCAGCGCGAAAAGGAGGAAGCGGAAAGAGCGGCAGTGCTTGCCGCAGCCCAGGCGGAAGCGGATGCTGCCTCTTCTGATAGGCCGGATTCTGCCGCTGCTGCCGAAGAAAGACAAAGTAAGTCCAAATTTTCTTATATTATTTCTATCTTTAATTGTGCATATTTATACCTTTATACATGTACATGTACACTATTGCTTTAAAGTAGGTAATCGTTTTAATTTTGTTCAAAATTTAAGAATTAACATTTTTAATGATTTAACTGGACTTTTATACTATAACTTAATATAAAACATATTTAAAGTTGCTATACTTTTAAGCCATAGTTTTTATTTGGAAAACCAGTTTTTTTAAAACTATTTGGTATTTTCTAAAAACACATACTAATCTTAATTTCGCTATTAATTTAACAAGCAGCAGGAAGTGTAAAAAGGTCTTCTCTTAAAGCTGTTACGCCCACTGGTGAAGGTAAATTCTTGTCATGTGTTTTTGTAACTTTTTATTATCGTCAAATAATTTTTTAATCATTTGTTCATTTAATTTTTATGATGAATTATCCTTAATGATAATAAAAGGTTATCCAGGGTCAGTAAAAGATATTAATCTATATTGTTTATTTTATACATTTTTAAACATGTTTAATTAAAAAAAACTACAATGTATTGTTTTACAAAAAGTTCCTATTTTTAACATTATACATAATATGTACTGTACACTATATAAAATAAAGTATGATTAAAATCCTTTTTGATTGACCATGTAGCAAATTTACTACTGAAAATGTATAATGCGGTGTTTGGCTTCTATTGCTTAATTTAACAATAAATAATTGCACAAATATATTGTATATTACCTACACAAAATATTAACAAATAAAAAATTAATTATGAAAAACAAAAAGTTTGCACAAATTTGCGGAATATACGGCGTTATATTAATGATTCTATAGGTTAAGGTTCTAAATTTCAGCTATTTATTAAATTTATAATTAACAATGTCCAGGTAGGTATTTTATAGACATATCTTCTGCATGATGCTTTCCTGCTTAGCAATAGCTCTTTAACATATTTTATATGTTTTATACAAAACGGTTTAGAGATTAAATGGAATATTTTTAATGTAATATTGTCCCAGTTATTATGTAAGGGTGTATCTCATAGTTTACTATTAAAGATTGAAAGTTCCTTGCTAATTTTTTAAATTATGGTTTGGAGAAAAATGTGGTTCCAGGTAGTACATTTAACGTACTAGTAGCACAGTTTTTTTTAAAAAAATAATTTAAATTAGCTAAAACTTTTAATCTTTAAAATGCTCTATAAAATTGTTAAATATGAGATACGCCCTTATGTGATAATTGGGACAATGTGAGGAGCAACTGTTCAAATCGCATTATGTCCTTTAAAATAAATTTTCGGGAAAAAGACAATAACCTGTTTCTGTCAATTATAGAAACACGTTTTCCCGAAAACTTATTTTGAAGGACATAATGCGATTTGAAAAGTTACTCCTCATATCTACAATAAGTTAAAAGTACCTACTATTGCATACACTTCTTCAACAAAACGTACTTTTAAAACTAGTAACTCATTATTGAAAGATATTTTATTTCATAGTAGTTTTGTACTAATTCAGTTACCTGTAAATAATATGTATGTTACCGCCAATATCCGAAAACAGTCATTATGCATAACTAAGCATTTTAGAAATTATGCATAATTCCCAAAGTTCTTAGTTAATATGCATAATAAATAAGAACTTTAGGTATTATTTTATTGTTTCGACCTTTACTTGATGAAACTCCATGAAACTAATGTATAAAAACAAAACACTGTTTTGTAAGTTACAAGTCTTTATTTTAATTTTGACAATTGTAACTTTCAAAAATGATTTCCAGCCTTAACTAATAACATAATTTATATAACAATTACTCCAGGTAATATTTTTTTTATATTTTAAGGAATACCTACTAAGTAGGAGAATACATATATACAATAAATTACCCAGAGTTATTTTGTTATATAATTGTGGTGTGTTAGCGAAACAATTGTCAAAATTAAAATAAAGACGTAAAACTTACAAAACAGTGTTTTGTTTTTATACATTTATACATTTGGGCGGGGCGAATAGTAAATTGCAATGCATTGATGCCACTTCTCAATCTGTTACATTTTTTGTCTAACGATTTACTCAAAATGAAATATAATTTTTTCTGGTACTATGCAATGATTCAAATGTAATTGTAAGTTCTGCAAAAACAGTACTTGTTGTAAAAAAGAGATTAGCTAGCTTGTTAACTGTAAACGATTCAAACAGATTTTTAGTAGGTAATTGAAATATAGATTTTATTATGCAACACCAAAGTTGTTCTTGAATAATAATAATAATATCTTATAGTTATTACTATTAGTAAGTTATTTTTTTAAATAAATAGATTTTGGAATATCTTTCCTGTATTTTATCAACCCTAATAACTATGACGTTATTAGAAAATATGCATCATGGCTAAATGTTCCAGATATTATTACATTCCTGGGCTACTTAAAAATCTAATTGTTAAGTTAAGTTTAATATAAAAAGGCTTCACTAGGTTTTATATTAAACTTACTTAATAATACAATGGGACATTAAAAAAATTTGTACTAATTAATAAACATCCATTTTATTACTTTCAAAAACTATATTTTGGTTTAATTAAGAAGTGGCATTAATGCAATGGAAAGGACTGATAAATATTAACCCCACAATGAATAATAACTGAAATATCTAGTCATTATGCATAATTCCTAAAATGCCCATTTATTATGCATAATAACTGTTTTCGGATATTGGCGGTAACATATACATATGTTATGTATGTCTAATAACTGTCAGACATGGGGGTTCAAAATATAGATACTTTGTACTTGTTATAATTTTTAAAAATATATTCAATACAATTTAATCCCTACATTTAATATTTTTTAAGGATGTTGGGTGGTTACAGTATATGCTGTAGAAAAACAGGTTTATTTTGTAATTATTTAAACAAAAATTACATCATTATAATAAACAATATAAGAAACCAAAAAGTGGCAACCCAATCTCCTAACAAAAATTTATTTGGCGTTTTTTTTTTAATTTTTGTTTTTGCATTTGGCATGAATATTATTTTAATGCATGAGCATGTTTTATATGTAGTGCATGGATCAACGTCACCAAGTCAACGTAAGACCTTACCGTATTCCACCCTGTCACCAACGGAGAAGACACCGCGTTCGCAAACAAGTAAGTAGGCTTTAATAGAAGAAAAAAGTAATAAAAACATCGTTGAAATTTTGTTGGATTTTTAAAATTGAAATATTGTTGTGTGGCAATTTTGGTCTTAAAAACACTATAAAATATTAAATAATGATCTTTTATTAGAACAGTTTCATTTTCAAAGTACATATGGTTACTTTTGGAACATTGGGGGTTTATGTTTATACAGTAACTATTGGTGCTTTTGCGGTAATGTGCAGAATATTGCTTACTGTAGTTCCTGGCAGTACTCAATAATGTGACAAAAATAACTATTGCTGTTGTTAAAGTAATATTTGAGTTTTTTTGTTAATTTTATGATTTTGAATAGTATATTGATTGCATTAGTGTTCTGCGCATCAATGGTTACTGTTTTATCTCCGTGCAATATAACTTGAAATGTTTACAGAATATTTATGAAATATAGTACTAAATCAGTTACTTAATATAATAATTTTAAACATATTGCATTGACCTTATAAAACGTAAATTTCAAATGGTCTAGATTTAAGGCAATTTTATAAACTACCACATGGAAATATTTACGGTCCAAAAATATATTATTTAGAAAATGAAATCTCAACTTCAACGATGTTTATCTTCTGTGTCCAGTCCAGCTGCATTGCATGCAAATTATACCTTTTATTTGTATTTGTCGCGGGAGTGCTTTGCCCCCCATTTGCTTATCGCTGTGTTTCTTTTTTTGTGTTCTTTCTACGAAAAAAACAAAGTGTCGCGAGCCGAAGAAAAATCTAAACGCAAGGATCGCTCGCGTAGCAAGAGTCCGTTCAGGAGCTTTAGATGGAAAAAGAGCACTTCTGCCACAAAATCGTCCGGGGCGGCCGTGAGCGACGACGAGGGCGCCATTGCAGCCGCACAAGGTATTTATGTCGCTTTCAAAAAATATGTTCCGAAATATGAATAATATTTATTATTACTATTATTATTTATAACTGTCCGAGAAATGAGTCAATAGTTTTGTTTGAGGTCGGTAATGGGTTATCAAGATAGTTAATCCAAAATTACAGAATATTTGACCCCGTTAATTACTATTTCTATTGAATACCTTTTTTTACTTTTTTGTTTTTGTTTTTACCATGGTAATAAAAATCGATAAAAACTTATTTTACATTAAGTACTGGGTTACCTCATAATATTCCACAAATATTTTATTAAATATTCAATTCGTATTTATACAGTATATTAGAAAAATGTCTAAATAAAATAATTAATTACTTACGAACAATTAATTAGATTTGGTTGAAAATAGAATTGCATATCAACAAATAAATTTTATTTGCAGCAAAATCATAAAAAAAATAGTTGCTGAGTTACATTGTTTCAATTTAATTTAAAAAAAAGCCCTTCAACACACAATTTCTAAATTTTCTTTTAAGAATATAAAAATACATACTTTTAATCGTGCTGAAATCAACAATATTTGAAAATAATATGAAACTCTGGATTTACGTTGAGTTTAGAAAAAAACTTACGTTTGAACGTTTTTGTGATGTACGGAAATTGGCTCTTTTCAATCGTTTGTAAGTACTTAATAATTGTTTTTATTTAGAAGGGCAAAATATTTCTAATATACCCTGTATAATGTTACATTGGACTGTCGTCATCTGGAGACAACCAATCGAAACGTTGTGAAAATCAAGAAAACCAAGATGAGATGTATAAATACGAATTCAATTTTCAATGCGATATTTGTGGAATATTATGAGGCAACACAGTCCTTAATGTAAAAAAGGTGTTTACCGATTTTTATTACCATGCTCACTTCAGGAATTTTGACTCCATTGGTTTTGAAACAATTTTATATTTTTTATTATTTTAAGTAAAATGTACAAAATTATTCGGAACATATTCGTTGAAAATGTATTTGTTACAAAAACAGGCAGCTTTTTGTTATCAGTGCCATTTATATTGTTGTTTAGTACCTTATTTTAAGGAAGATAATATATTATTTTTTGTGATATTTGTGCATATAACGCTTATGATTAAATGTAGCAATAGAAGAAACCAATTTTGGTAAGGTATTTATTTTATTAGACAATTAGGTATCATTTTCATGGCTTTTAATAATACATATTCATGCCTCAAAAAGTTGTAAATTTAAAGAAGTTTTTATACAATTTTCATAAAAACTATAAAACATGTCAATTGTCTAAAACTTTTTTACTTTACAATTATTTGCCAAACATGTTTACTATAGTATTCAGCATTACAGGTTTGTCTTTAAGCACAAATTATATATACAGGGTGTCTTAAACTTTTGTTAAGGGAAGCTCTCAGATTCTGGGGAGCATTTTTACATAGATTACGTTGTTCAAAATAGCTTCTAGAAAATGCAAGGTTTTAGATTGAAAGGAGTTTCCAGATACCCTGCGTATAAATTAATATTGTTGTCGATGATTTGTTTAAAAATATCAAAGACCCAATAACCAGCATGCTTTTCCGTAAATTCAGAACGTGGCGGAGCCGGCGACAAAGAAGCCTTCGAAGGCAACCTGGTGCGAAAGCACGAATGGGAGAATACGACGGAGAAGGCGACGAACAGATCTTGGGACAAGGTGTACGGCGTGCTACAAGGCAACCAGCTCGCCTTCTACAAGGACCAAAAGACCGCCAAGTCCACGCCCGATCAGCGTTTCAAGGCCGAAGCACCTTTGGCTCTGTTGGGCGCCACCGCCGAAGTGGCCAAGGACTACAAGAAGAAGAAGCACGTCTTCAGACTGAAGTAAGTAGTTTTTTTATAATTTATTATAATTCTTCATTCATTCATTTGTTTTCTCAAGCTGTTTCCTTCTGGGGGATATTCTAGCCTTTCAAATAATATTCCTTGTTCAACTAATCAAAATACGCTTTAGTTTCAGTTATACAAGGTGTATTAAAAACGAATAGATACACTTAAATAAAACAAGTGCCAAACCCCGCCCACTGTGGTAGGGATTGAATTTGTTTGCTTGCCGTATCATTGTCGTATGATCTGTGCGTCAGTTTAAGAAGTGCGAGAGACTTTGCGTACGTCTTTGTAAGAATAAAAAAGTATTTTCTCCAATAAAATGGTTTTAGTCCTGAAATGCTGTTTAACGTGAGCAGGAATTTTTATGATAGGCTAGGGTATTGTTTAACTGCTGCTGGTGGTCTATTTGAACATTTAATTTAGAAAAAAAGTTATTTTCGTTATTTTAGAATTATTTTTGTTTGAGAATTTATAGGTTTTATTTTTATCGAATTCGTTTGTTTTGTTTTAATGCATTTCTGCAAATAAAACCTAAGTATTGTTTAAAATCCATTAAATTCCAGTTAATGGCGAAAATGTATTTCTTAAAAACTATACACATTTCCCTACGACAGCGTCGGAGCTACTGAACAAACAGTATGCCCTTGTATCTGGCTGCATGCCGCGCTGTTGCCATATGCTATTATTGTTTCCTAAAAGGGTTGTTTTTCTTATTTTTTTAATATTAAAAGTAAGAAAATTAACTAAATCAAATTATTTTTGACAAATTATTAATTTTTTTGTTATTTTTAAAGTTTTAAACAAATAAAATTGAACTATTTATTAAATAATTATAATCGTTCCCTTCTGATTTAAAACAACCTGGCAACTATGGTTCGTAATTACGAATGGCTTGGTTTAAACCACGCCCAATTAAAGTTTGTTTCTTTTTCTCTGATCAGAATATAATTTGTCATCCTTGTCTCCAGCCTTACTTACTTGATTCTAGATAAATCTCTTTATGTTTTAAAACAGATAATTGTTTCCGTGAGCTTAGCCCAATTCGTTCCATTTTGGTAATGTGGCTGTTTCATCGACATCTCTTCTATTATTATTGTTCTTCCCTTTTTATTTAATGAGGATTATATCACGTGCATCCCAAAATATATTGACCAAAACTTATCCTACCAATTGTTGCACTTCATATCATCCAATACAATGCAATGTTTTTTGGACGTCCCGGACATTCAGCGTCATCTGTGCTTGTACAACATTGCAATTTACTAAAAATGGTTGTTCTTGACTGATTAGACTTCATATATAAGTTTTTTAGACCATTGCAAAAGTTACTATTTGCACATACATAATATTACAATAAATTTAAAAACACCAACTTTATGCAATCTCAATACAAAGTCTCATATCATTGCGCCTCAGAGAAATAGTGGGCTTGCTGATTAAAAATAAAAAATGTCTAGGTGATAGTGTAATCAAATAAGAGCAAAAAATGGCAGCCAATAACGAGAGCTCTCGCCTAGGTTAAACGTAGGAGGTTTAAAAATTGCTAGGAGAGGATAGAACATTCTTGTTTTAAAACTTTTAAACATCTTTTGTCCGACTGTGTTTACTAACCTTTCAAAAATAGTAAATTAAGTAAGTAAGTAAAAATTAAACAACTAGTTCTGTACCCCAGAGCTAAACTCTAGCAACCACTTGTGAACAGGAAATTCGCGTGCAACTTCCTTTATGCTCTTCCTACTATTTGCATCAAAGACATTGAAAATAGGTTCTTTAATTTTCGCTGTTCTAATACGTTAAGGAGCACCTTCAAAACAAAACTTAAAATGATAAATAATGACAGAAACAAAAATTTACAGCAGTGTCACAATGAAGTGTATTCCAGTCGACTAAATATTTTACATATTATAATATTAACAATGCATCCTAAGTATCCTAGCAAGTTAAAGAATTCCCCATTGCCATGTATTGGGATTGGCTATCGTTTTTTATTCTTATGTCGCTTATCCTTTGCGTTAGATAATTTTATCCTTTGCGTTAGATAATTTCCAAGTTTGTGTTTTGTATAACTTTTTTTCTGTGCCAAAAAATTCACAACTTCTGCAGTTTTTTGAGTGCGTAAAAAAATAAAAAAAACTGCGCAAATGTTAGGACTATAAGTATAATTTTGTTTCAGATTGTTTAAAAATGGCGGTTTTTCAAAATTTAAATTTATTTTTTTTATTTTTTTCAAAAGGCAGTTTGAAAATATGTATATGTGAATTTTTTCAAAATTTCCCACTGTTAAATATCAGAAATATTCTCATTTTTTGGGTTCCACTAGACTCTTTAAAATTTGAAGCAAATCGGAGACATGTCCGTTTTACGTGGCCATTTGGCATGAAAAGAAAATTGATTCCAAATTTTACAAAAAGAAAATCTTGGCAACAACTGAACCAAACAAGTTCTATGCTTCAAAACAAAAGTCTCACCTTGACATTTGAATACACCCAATTAAGGTCTGTCAGTTTAACTGTTGAAAACCCATATCTTCAATCAATGGATTAACACCTATATTGTATTATTTAAAAAAAAGAAAATTGCTTTAAAGTTTAAACTGACATAAAGATAGATATGTATTAAAATGTAAAAGTGGGATTTTTGGGTTCAGAGCATAGTACCTATTTCGTTTCTTAAAATTAATTTTGTATGTATGTAATTGATTTATTAAATGTGTCATTTTCTATTAAATATGACATTTTTTTGTATTAAATATCGCTTATGGTGGGAAATTTACTGGACGGTATCTACATTAAGACATTTAGATTTTTGTTTTACTGCATAACAATGAAAACACAGAAATCGTTTTTTATTCTTTATAAAAACTAATAATAAACTTTAGTACAAATTCATTTGTTGGCCATGGTAATTTATTAAAACTTTAACGATATTCTTACCTTATACCATTGAATTGTTTTAAATCAAATTCTCGTTCATAAATAATAATTTAAGTTCAAATTTAAGAAATGGAATGGTTTATAAAAAATTTGTATTTTTAGGTTGGATGGCGGTGCAGAATTCTTATTCCAGGCGCACGATGATGCCGAAATGAACATTTGGATTTCGCGCATCAGCGCGCACGCCGATTCTGATTCGTCGGGCCCCTCTCGCTCGCAGACACTGCCTGCGTCTGCGCAGAAGGAGGACTCCAAACGACGCAGCTTCTTTACTCTTAAGAAAACGTAAGTAATTAACTTAACACCATGCAAAAAATAAAAGAATTCACTTACTATGTAATTTATATACAGTTTGGCCCATTTGTTTGCGACTCACCCCTGTAAAATATTTATTGTGCGATTTTAACTGGATTTGTTTTAAAGTGTAGATCTTGATAAACTGTATTTTTGAAGCAAAAACACCATATTGTTTACAAAATACAAGCCCGACTATGTCAGTTTTTAAGAGTAAATTTTTAAGATTTCATATTAGCAATTTATTTTAAATCTATGCAAGTCACTGGAATTACCCCTTACAACCCTATACTAAATTTTTTTGACAATTCTTAAGTAGGAACGATTTTGTATCCAAATTAAAAATGAACAGTTATTCTGTCAACTTATCCATGAAAATATTGAAATAAAATTAAACTAGGTAATAGTAACATGATATAAATATTTGTATGCTTAGTTTTGACAAATAAAAAACGCAATAGAAACTTAAAACAACAATGAAACAAAAAATAGATAATTCCAAAAATTCTCTACAATTACATTTTCGTCACCTCTACTGCACCAGAAGTACAGGCTAAGGTAATACAAGCCTGCGCAGCCATTACTCCAGAACAAATATAAAAGTGTATTGAAATAAATGGTGAATTAAGTGAATCTGAGATTGAAATTAAATACCATTATAATTTTCTCCATGCTTAGTTTCTCAAAATATTCACTTTTAAGATGACAATAATAAAGATACCTCACATACAAAGAAATATATATTTTAAATGCGCCTGAGGGAGAGAGAAATATTAAATAGTTATTTTCCTAACAAGTGCGCAAAGATATATTTTCCGCACGCTACTGCAATTGCACGAATGACGCAAAGCGGAGTTCGGGCTAGCAGTAAGTGCGGAAAAATTACTTTGCGCATGTGTTAGGAACAATATTTTTTCTACTAGCGTGCGCAAAGTAAGATAATATAATTTTTATTAATTTTTATTACAAAGGAACAATTATAATATTCATAATATATATGATGTTAAATTATAATATAGACTCAAATCCAAATTTTTATTAACTTTTAGGACACTTTTTAACATGGAGTACTTACTCCACAAAGTATTTGGCTGATATGATTTTCTTAAATCCGCAAAATAGGCCAGAATCACTTCTTTCTTAAAACTTTTGACAGGATTTCGCTGGTAATAAATTCTCATTTACAGTATTTGCTGCCTCCAAGATGTCATATGGTAGCTCTTCTTCCAAAAATTTTAAACATTTAGGGCCGGTTTTTTAATTAGGGTTTAAACCTTAGGGGAACTTAGATCAGTTAATGAACTCAGTTCACAGTCAAATGAGTTTTTCAAGGTCGACTCAACAGCAGTTCTGTTGAACTTAGATCAGCGGTGTCAACGTTAAGTTGGTACAACCGAATTTAGTATACGCCTACATTAATAGTAGTTAAAACTGTCATTTTGACAAAAGGATTTTGTGTTTACTTTTGGAGTTTTGTTTATCTGTGCTGTTTTAAAAAGTTCTAAGCTGTGCGAAAGGTTGCTTTAAAACAATTTACTATTGTTAAAGAACCATAATTATTATTTATTATGGATAAAAATCGTGGTGCCAACTTTACCTCTTTTAAGGAGGAATTATTTGTATTTATTTCGTTTTATAGTATAAAATGAATTTGTCGTTTTTTGTTACATGTGATCAATTTTACTAAAATCTATTACCTATTCAGTAATTATTTTTATAACTAACCTATTGGTCGGATTTGCAATAACTGGTCTAATTAAATCCACTATCCTACGTACAAAACGTTTGGAAAACCGAAATTGGCAAATTCTTTATTATTCCACCTTTCAAAATGATTCGGTCTTAACCGTGGCCTGTGCACACGAAGTTGAATATTATTTAGGAATTCGCCAATTTCCTCATCATCCTCACTAACTACCTCAAACATAACCATTGGTTTATTATAACAGCAGATCACAAAACAAGAAATAAACAACGTAATACACAATAAAGCAGAGAAAAATTAAGTTATGTCAAGTTGAACTTCGTTTAAACGGCCAACAGTGACGGTTCATCTTTTGATTTAGTTTAAACCAAATTCAAGCTTGAACTTTGATTGAAAAACGGCATATTTTGTTTGAACCAAGTTCAAATGCTGAACCAAGTTTAAACTATTTCGCGAAAAATCTATAATATATTATGACGTTTTACTTTGTTTGACACTTATTGACATGGAAACTAAGTAAGTAACTAAATTTGATTTTGTCTAAAATCAACATACTTGCGTAAAGTTTAAATGCAAATGCGTGCGGAAAAGTGCAAATTTGCGCACGCAAATATGTGCGGATACGTGTTACTCTGCGCACGCTAGTAGAAAAAAATATTTCTGTTACCTTTAGTTATAAAATATACTGTAATTAACCACAATAACCTTCATAAACTCCCCAAATAAGCTCTTTAAGGGGTAGACTAAATTAGGAAATATGATAATTTGGCCCAAAATATTTGGGTGATATGACATTTATGTTTATTGGCTATTTTCGTTCCACCGGGTTTTGTGTTGTGCAAAAAATATTTTATTTGATACCAAACTTTGGTAACCAAAGGGTTTATGTCGTAATTGATCTTAAAAAATAATAAAACTTGCTTTTTTGTCCTAACAAATATTCGCATAAATTTGTAATAATTCCATATTTTGTTTCAGATAAATCTGTGCTACTTTAATTGAAAAATCCGTATCTTTACGCTTTACCTGATGGATTCAAGTCCAATCTCCTTTGCCCTTCTTTTTTATATTTAGCATATTTAATATATTATATTTTTCATAGTAGTTGCACATTATAGTAATTTTAATGTATAGAACTGTGGACATGCTGGAAATGGTTTGTGCCTGTGACTTGACAACTCATAGTTTCGAATTGCTGATTTACACGACAATTCCGGAACAATTACAATAATTTTTACCGTTTCTACTGGAGTTACGGCATGTTTCATTCCAACACGTCTGCTATTTAAATTTAAATGTATAGTAATATATATTATGTGATTAAAGTTTAAATATTTAACTGGGGCACAATAAGAAATGATACACTCCAGAAAAGAACCGTGTTTGAAATTTATTTATTAATCAAAAAGTTGATGTATTGTCCCCTTGTAACCCATATGATACCTAGATATATAAAAATAATTCAACTTTGGCAGTTTTTATCCTGCCTTCATTTGTATTCTCTTACATATTATTTGTGTTGCAATAATTCTTATTTAAAAAATTGCTTTGCTTTGCAAAAGCTGAGGTGATGAGTCAATTTTTTTATTACATATAGTTTTGTAATTTATGGTTATTTTACATACAATGTGTGCTTTTAAAATGGAGTTATATTAAATAAATATTGTTTTTAGTATGGTGTTTTTTTATTAAAAACCCTTTAAACTTGGTTTACACAGGTAATTTTTTTTGAAACAGTTATATTTATTTAATATATTATAGTATTCAAGGTTTGTCCCAAACGAGCATTTGGACTGTGAAAGGGAAATCTCGTGATTTTACTACTGCCCATGTCCCTGATGTCCATTTGAGTCCAAATGCTCGGTAGAAACAAGCCTATAATCTTACTTAATTATTTATACTAAATAAAAACAAAATTGATAAAGTAATTAGCAAAAAAATACGTAAAAACTTTGAAATAGGTAACATAACTATTGGTGGTGCCTTAATAATTAGTAAAAAACATTACAAAAACCTATAAAACATAAAAATTTAAATCTTGATTAAATGTTTAACTGATAGTTCACAATATTTTCTGAACTTCTCGAGGATGCTAAAGCTGCACACCTTAATTAAATTGTCACTTAGGTCAAAAGGATCCTGAATACAAATCGGCGAATTAGCCCGAAATTCTTCTGCGTTGTCCAACTTTTGTTTATCTTTGTAAGACTTCATTTCTTTGGGTAAATATTGACCTTTATTTTCCACAAAGTATTTTTTGGATATTGGTCTACCCAACAGAGGACAAATAACCTAAACATATGATTTATTATTATAATAATAAACTATACAACTATAGAAGATTAACTTACAAATACGTTATAGTCAAATTTAAAATAGTATATGAAGAACTCGGTTAATAAATCTGTTATATCATCATTATATGGAACATGAAAATGCTCAAAAGGCACACCATAATTTATTGTTTCCCAACCTACAAATTCATTTAATAATAGGTAGGTATTCATATGTACTTTGTACATGCTTTTCATACTTAATTCTCAGAATTTTATCAAAATTCTTAATTTTTTGGTCATAATGGTTGCTGACAAAATTTATTAATTTTGTATTCATCAAATTTTTAGATGTTCAGTTTTTTCCTTGAGCGGTCACTTTGGATTGGTGCGTCACCCGTTTTTGTATTTTACAGAGGTTTGCGTTTAACTCTGTACAGATAAAATACGGCCCTAAAGATAAAGATATTTAGTTCAAACAAAAACACGTATAATGTACAATATTTTCTGTTCAGTAGGCCTACTTAACTAAAATAAACAAAAAAAAATGCTAACTTAATGTTTTTAAAATAAAAAAAAATATTTGTTTTTAAATTTTAAAAAAATATTTTTTTCTGGCTATAGTCTCTTTAGTCTTTATACTTCCCTAAAAAGATTTAGGCCTTAAAGTTGCATCCTTTTTTTAATGGGTCTTTAAATATTGCGATTTGTCTAAAATCCGGTATTTTAAATCTGAAATTTCTCAGAAGGGACACACTTTAAAAATTCAAAATTAAAAAAAAACATTATTTTATTGTACCGTAAATACGGGTGACTTTGCACCCCGCGGGTGACTTTAACCCATTTATGAAAAATCTTTTCGCGCTCGATAAAATTAACATTTATAATTTGTTGGTCTAAACCTGTCAATTGAGCGATTCTATTGAGTTTATATTACAGGAAAATCAGTGTTTTAAAGAAAGAAATGGGATTTATTACACTTTAAAATTGTTTATATCGTATCAGTGCAAAACTCTTAGAAATACACGCGTTACAATTTCTATATTATGCGCAATCCATTGGAATGATGATCCTTGGTTAACTACAGGTCGATTTTTTATTTTTTTTATTGGTAATCCCTTGCAATAGATATATGTCGCTGCTAACACGTGTCTAATAAAAATAAAATATAATATTACATTCATTTTATACTGAAAAAACACTGTGAGACAAAGTAACCCGCAACCAGGGGGTAACTTTGCACACCCAGTTTTTAATGTTTCTTTTTGAAACTCAGCCCTATGTTATATTATAACATAGTTATTATGAAAGAGCAACTCAAGACTCAAATTTTGGTATACAAAATTTAATGTTTATGATTGTTAAAACCACAAAAAATTTAAGCTGAAGTTTGAAAGTGAGCCAAAGCCACCCGTGTTTACGGTATTGTAAAATTGTATTACTGAGACTATTAGTTTTTTAAAAATAACTGAAATAAGTCATGGGCAGCAGAAAAAGGGTGAACGAGCATTACCAGTGCAAATGAAAAACCAATGACCGCTTTTAAGTTTTTTGGACCTGAATATGGTCTCTTATACTTTGTGGATGTGTTTATAGTCATTGAATATTTTGTCATGAATAGGAATCCGGTATAGGTAATTTAAGGTACTAAATGGATTAAGTTTCTCAATACCTCTCTGAGTATTCACAGTCAAAGTTGATGTTCTGATTTATAAACCTGAGTCAAGCGTTTAAATCTCGTGCTAATGAATTTTTATTCATTCTGTCTTACGTGGATGTATTTGGACTATGTAAAAATGAATATTGTATGCCCTATACTTGAGACGAAGATTCAAATTCGAGAATTAAGTGGAAGAGAACGTTTCAAGATGGAGAATAATTAATAAACATAGAAAAAACGACACGAGACGGACGCACACCGTTTTGTTTTAATAATAATTTTGTTGAAAATAAATGAATAGTCGTCATGTGAAAGTCATAAGAAATGCAATAACCAGTAAAAAATTAGGTACTATAATATTGCATTTTACAAAAAATACCAACTTTTTGTACATATATTTATCGCATATATTATTTGAATAACAATTGTTTTTTTGAGATATAGGTATCTAAAAAATGTTCTACGAATTTATCGAATTCTTGTTTCTATAAAATGTATGCTCTTTAACGTGGTTTAAACCATAATTATGTTTAAACTAAATAAAAAAACAAGCAACAGAGCTACTGCTCACAAAAAAAATGAACATCTAAAAAATTAATGAATCCGTTATCAACTCTCTGAGTATACTACAAAGTTTGTACTTCAAACATATGTAGTTAAGAAACATATAATTTTTTTTGCAACCTCTTTAAATCAAATTGATTGGTTGATTTGATGTGATGACCCTGGGACGTTTATCTCATTCCAGATCATGACAAAAACTAAATACTAACCATCAATGACAGCATGAGGCCCTTTGTTAGTCTTCCTAATTTTTGCAACAGAAGGTAAAATTTTTTTGGTTTGCAAAAAAAACATGACCATCATAGCCAACGCATAAGAGGATATGTTATCATTGAAACCTGACATGCAACTCCATTGTTTTAAAATTAACGTTAACGTTTGAGATATTGGTTGTGCCAAAATACAAAACCTTAAAAAAATAACAATAACTAATGGTAATGATAAATTAAATAAACTAACCTAAGAAATTTGGTGCTTTCAATACTAAGGCCATGGCTGAATGAAATATCACAGTCAAATTCAGTAGCCACATGGAATAATTTTATAATAGGAGTTCTAGCTATGGGTATGCATTGTATTTTTTTATTACTTTTTCTGAATATTTTTTCTGCTTCTTTAACAAACTTTACTTGATCAGTGGCATCTTGGTACTTTTTACCATTATATATTCTTCCTGTATCCAAAAATACATCCAAATCGCTATCCTAAAAAGCATTCAACAATATACAGCTGTATTAAATAAGGACTTTTTCTTACATGATTTCCCATGCCAGATATTCTAGAACCAAAAGGGTGTGCCTTGCAATCTTGAAATGTAACTGATAATAGATCTTCAATAGCCCTGCAACATTTGTTGTTTCTGTGAGTATTTTCTACTACTTCATTGGCTTCGGCTATTAACTCCTTACAGTACTGTTTAAGGCAATCTCTATTGGCAAATATTGTTTTTAGTTTCTCAGTTAGTTTGGCCTCTGGAAATGAATAGAAATAGAATATATTTTTATTTCCGTATAATTTTTTAACATACCAGTAAATTTTGAGTTGGTACACTAGTATTTTTTAAGAGTGGCCAGCTCTGAAAAAGGTACTTTTGTAGATTCTTTTTTATTGCTTCTAATGCTTTTGAAGATGATCTTTAGAATAGCGAACGTTGTAGTAAAATAGTGAACAAAATTCCAGCGCTCGCTCTTTTCACTTGTACTGTAAAATATATATTCTGCCGCTAATGTACCTTTCTTCAAAGCGCGTCACATACATTTTATACGTTTTAATATTGGCAGCTTCCAAACAGCTGTATCCATATTATGGGTGGATCTATGTTTAATAATAACCCTGGTCCACATGGTTGCCAACAATTTTTCCAGGGTTATTTGGGTGCGCTGTTCCAAAAACTACCATAAATTTGCTGAATTTATTCTGCAAATTGTCATGGTGCGCGGACTGTATATAAACGAAGTTACGACAGCGCACCATGACAATTTGCAGAATAAATTCAGCAAATTTATGGTAATTTTTGGAACAGCGCACCCAAATAACCCTGGAAAATTATTTACTAATATATATAAAAAATATATAATTCCTTCTTTTATGAACCCTACCTTCTATAACTTGTTTAGGCGGAACTGATAAGTGACTAGTTAAAGATAACTCATCTCCAAAAATAACAGTTGAACATGTGGTACATTCATATTCAATGACTTTGCTTCTACGGGATTCCCCTATATTGCCATGTCTAGTACACAAAAACATTTGTAATTAAAATGGCACAAGCAAAAATATTATATAGGTACTACAGAGTGGTTAGAATAGTCGATAACTTCTTTATTGATAAAATATTTTTATTCATTTTTTTAATAATAAAGAACAAAGTATAAATCGCGATATAAAATCTCTAGACTCTGAAGTTATTAGCTATTCAAACCATTCTGTGACTTATAGTCTACCCTGTAGCTGTTAAATTACCTGTTGGGGTATACGAAATGCTTGTCCCATTCTACCTCACTGGAGAACTTGTAATTACAAATTTCGCAAAAATATTTATAGGAAACCACCTGATATTTGGAGTTCTTCAGGTGAATGCTGCTCTGAATATGTTGTTTTATTAAATCTATGCTTTTTTTAATGGTCACTTTACACTTTACACTTTACGTTGCAATTTAAAAAAATTGTTGTGCCCTT